TATGTTTGTGGATGTTCCAACACTGGAAGTCTTTAGGAAGATGTTGGATAGTCATTTGTCTGGAACAGTATAGGGTTTCCTGCTTAGGCAGGGGGTTGGACTAGAAGACCTCCAAGGTCCATTCTAACTATTCTAATTCTAATTCTATTCCACTCCTTGCAGAAAAGAAAATATATACATTCAACAACAGCTAGGAAAAAATGAAGCCATTTACAACATTAACAAACATAACCTTTAGGATTGCACAGCATATAAAGATTCAAAAACACATAACCCATTTAATCCTGTATCTAGTTAATTCTGTTCACACATTTCCCCCCAGCAACCACCTATATCTGGAAGCCAATCCCAGTTCACTGCCATGGTAGCAGGGAAATATACCAGAAGTGGTATTCAGCAGGTTCTGACCAGTTCTGGAGAACCGGTAGCAGAAATTTTGAGTAGTTCCGAGAACCGGTAAATACCATCTCTGGCTGGCCGCGCCCCTATCTATTCTCTGCCTCCCGAGTCCCAGCTGATCAGGAAAAAATGGGGATTTTACAGTATCCTTCCTCTGGAGTCGGGAGAGAATGTGAATATTTTCAGGAAGTTGTCAGGATTCAAGCACAGATATATTTTTTTTTTAATTCAGGAAAATGACAAAGCAATTGCTCCCCCGTTTTAATTCCATCCAACTTGTAGGAGAAGAGTGGTGCCCGATGGTTCTTAAAAGAACAGATAGCCCTGTCTTGTTTTCTCACATGAAAAAACACAGGCTGGCAAGGCAGAGTGAATCAGAGTGAGGCCCATTTGCCAGAATTTAGCCTAGAGTGGATGAAATGCAGCTGAAAGTAATAAATGGAGCTTCCAAAAGTTGAAATAAATAGTAAGTGGTTTTTTTTATAAACATGCGAAGAATTGATTGATCTACTGTACCCTCACCGAACTTTAGAGAAGAGATCATAGCTGATGGTAGGCTTGTAACAAGTTAGCCATGCCATACATTGACCATGCTCATGGCTTCCCAACTTAACCTACCCATAATTTCTAAAATCCATTATTCTTAGGATCACATATGTGTTTTCCTGAAAATGAGATTCTTTTGACCCCTGAAATAAGCACTTGGCCTTATTTTTGAAGAGGTCTTATTCTTTTTGAGGTGCAGGAGTTGGGGAGCATGGTCACCTCATGGCTGCTGTTGTGTTGCAATATTGTTGGGGGAGGGCTTATTGAGCACATGAACTCAAAAGTCTGATTGGGCTTATTATCTGGGGAGGTCTTATTTTCAGGGAAACAATTTTTTTTTTGCAGGATCCAGTCTGGGGCAAATAGGAGACCAGATGTTTAGTCTTCCAAGCTTTTCGATTCGTGCTGGAGACCATCTTCACAGAATGGTCTCTCTACCACATACTCTGCTGGAGAGAAGTTCCCTGAAGATGGGCTCCAGCATGAGTCCAAAACTCAGAAGACTAAACCTTCGGTCCTAGTGACAGGCCCAGATGGGATTCTGAAACATTATTCTGAAGCACATATATTCACCTTGATCCTTTTTCTTCTTCTTCCATGTCTCAATTAAACTTTAAACTGCCAGAATGAAACTACCTTCTTGGTTTCACCATTGATCAAAAATAAGTCATTGGTACATGTTTCTGGCACTAGCCAACATATTAGCAGATGGGCCAGGCTCTGTGTTTCTCCACATTGTTGTTGTTACCCACTAAGAGCTTCCACTCAAACATATTGGTTTTACACTTAGGCTCTCTAACTCTCAACCTATTCAGGATCCTCCAAGTAGTGTAAGGGACGTCAGATCCTTCAACCATAGGATCACATACCATACATTAAGGATTACTGTGGGACACCACAGACAGCTGTCCAAGCATTCAAATAGCCAACACACTATATATCCCAGTTCAAATCCCAGTAAGGGTATGGCTAGCTGATGAGAGCTAAATGGTTTGAAATAGATCTATACTAGTCTCCCTTTATTTATTTTATCAGCAGAAATGCAACACACACACACACACAAACACACATTTCAAATGAGAGCATTCATTTAAAAAAAACTTTCAGAAATATAGGATAAAATAGCAATAGCACTTTGACTTATATACCGCTTGTCAGTTGCTTTACAGCCCTCTCTAAGCAGTTTACAGAGTCAGCCTATCACCCCCCAACAATGGTATGGATGGATAGGGGAGGGAGGGAGGGAGGTAGCTATAGCATGTAATATACTATTTCACAGTGCTTTCCAGCCCTCTCTAAGCAGTTTACAGAGTCAGCCTATCACCCCCCAACAATGGTATGGATGGATAGGGGAGGGAGGGAGGGAGGTAGCTATAGCATGTAATATACTATTTCACAGTGCTTTCCAGCCCTCTCTAAGTGGTTTACAGAGTCAACATATTGCCCCCATTTTTCTGGCTCCCCATTTTACCAATCACGGAAGGATGGAAGGATGAGTCAGCCTTCAGCCGGTTAGGATTGAACTCCTGACTGTGGGCAGAGTTAGCCTGCAATACTGCATTCTAACCACTGCACCCAACTCATCCCCGAAAATATTTTTCATCTCTGCTGTTTGGTTTTGTTTTCCTCTTAACACTTCCTCTGATTCACTAGTGCTTTTAAAGCATCAAGCAAGACAACCATGTATCACATATAAAGCTTATGTCATGTGTGCGTTACGATTGGCGTATTCTAGATTAGATTAAATATATGTAAAAGCATTACTTAAATTGTCTAATCAGGAATCAGCCAGTGTGGCCCTTGGTAGGATAGGACTGGTGTATAACTATGGCGAGGTTAGATACATTCATAGCTGCAAAGCACTTTTCCAGATTAATGACTGAAGGAGATTTATGTTTACATGGGGATACAATAAATATATACTTCCTCTGAGCCAAATGGCAAGATAGAATTAAACACCATAAAAATACAGTCTCTTTCTCTTCCCCTCCTCTTTGAATATTGTTCTGTGTTCATAAAGCATTAATTTTCCTCTTTTTTTTTTCTTTTAAAATTGGATTGCATTGTAGCTAGCCAAACAATAAAAGAAAACAAGCATTAAACAATCAGGGAATGAAGGCTTACAAGAGATGGCTCGGGTTTGCTCTTATTGAAATAAATGGCTAATTGCCATCCGAGCATTGGGATTAGAGAACTCAGTACAGTCTCTTTCCTTCTGTATATTTTTTTTTCCTGCATTCAATCCACTTGTGATTCTATAAAGACACAATAAAAGTCTACACACAACAAAAATAATTTTTATCAAGTGTAAGACCGTTTCCCCCTCCCCCTCCATATCTGTATAATTTTCCTTTAGGAAAAAAAAACTGGTAAGGTAAAGATAAAGGTTCCCCTCGCACATATATGCTAGTTGTTCCCGACTCTAGGGGGCAGCACTCATCTCTGTTTCAAAGCCGAAGAGCCAGCACTATCCGAAGACGTCTCCGTGGTCATGTGGCCAGCATGACTAAATGCCAGAGGCGCACAGAACGCTCTTACCTTCCCACCAAAGGTGGTCCCTATTTTTTTCTACTTGCATTTTTTACATGCTTTCGAACTGCTAGGTTGGCAGAAGTTGGGACAAGTAACGGGAGCTCACTCCATTATGTGGCACTAGGGATTCGAACCGGTGAACTGCTGACCTTCTGATCGAAAAGCTCAGTGTCTTAGCCACTGAGCCACCGTGTCCCATTAAAAAAGAAAAAAAAAACCTGGTACATGTCTTTAAATGAGGGTTTTTTCTGCTCACTTTTCCTGGTTTATCGTTTGTGCATATGTATATGTTTTTGTGTGTTTTTTTAATTAATACACACACACTGCACACACACACACATATACGTGTTATTTGCTGGCCAAGTTACTCTTTGAACCAGGCCATTGATGTTTGTGCTTCTAATCTTTAACCTATTGTTAAATCACTACAAATACAACCTTCCACAATCCATGTTGATCTTAAAGCAAGAGACATTTCTGACCCACATCTCCTGTGTGTATATATATACTGAACAGGGAACAATCTTTTATTATAGTGCTTTTTGGCTTTCAGGATGGGCTAGACAATGTCTATAAATAGTCTCTAACAGCCGAGCTTTGAAAGTGGATGCAATTTGGAGCTGGAGAATTTGCTCCTTGCCTCCCAGGCCCAATAACTGAAGNAAGAAGAAGAAGAAGAAGAAGAAGAAGAAGAAGAAGAAGAAGGAGAAGGAGAAGGAGAAGGAGAAGGAGAAGGAGAAGGAGAAGGAGAAGAAAGAAGCATGGGAGAAAAGCAAGGAAAAAGATGAATGGGAGAGCGGGACTGAGCATTCTTTATAGCCAAAGGACTAACATTCACCTTAAGAAGTTCATAATGTTGAATGCCATTCACTCCAATATCAGGATCGACAGCGGAGGGGACGGAATAGCGGGAATTGATCGCGGTGTTCTCAGGGATAGAGATATTGATGACCGTGGATGGGAAAAGTGGAGCGTTGTCATTTATATCCTCAATCAGGAATCGGATCTTGACCAGCCTGAAGACCTCATCAGGAAGAACTGCGACTTCCACCTCATAAAAACAACGGTTCTCACTAAAAATGCCAGAGCAAAGCTTTTCCCGGTCGATGCGGTTGGCCGTGGTGAATATTTCTCCGGTGTTCTCCTCCACGCGGACGAGGGGGACATCGCCGGTCTTGTACACAAGCTTGAATTGAAGCGGGGACGAAAGGGGCACATCGGGGTCAAGGGTCAGGTTGAGATCCTTCAGCAAATTGCCAATGAGGACATTTTCCGGTAACTCCTCCCTCACAGTGTAATTCTTCTCCTGGGCCCCCGACTGAAATACAACGCAGACCAGTAAGACTGCCAATAGGTAAGTTCCAGAAAGCAAGTCCATCTCCAGAACAGCTAAGGTGTTGTCCAGCTGAACACCAAGCAGAGCTAGAAAATAAAAGAGACAGAAGGAAAAGAAAAGGTTTTATTAAAAATGCAAGGGGAGAGAGCGCTAATCTCATTTTTTTTTCTCCATCAATTTTTTTTTCCTCCACCAGGGGTTGACAGAAAGATGAGGGAGTCAAGCTATTCCTGAAAGCACCTGGGAGCAAGACGGAGCAATGGACAGGAACTAATCAAGGAGAGAAGCAACCTAGAACTAAGGAGAAATGTCCTGACAGTTAGAACAATTAATCAGTGGAACAGTAGTTGCCTCCGGAAGTTGTGAATGTTCCAACACTGGAAGTCTTTAGGAAGATGTTGGATAGTCATTTGTCTGGAACAGTATAGGGTTTCCTGCTTAGGCAGGGGGTTGGACTAGAAGACCTCCAAGGTCCATTCTAACTATTCTATTTTATTATTGTATTATTGTATATATTTTTCAAATGCACAGTTAGNTGTATAGTTACTCCGACTTCGCGGTACTGCATTGTTTTAAATGTAAAAATAATAAAAATATATTGGGGGGGGGGGAAACAATGACCCCATAAATGTGTCCCCCTTGGGCAAACAGACTCACATTGCACAGTCAGATAGGCAGAGGCTGAAGGGGATCGGCCAAGGCTGTTGCTCGGAATGCAGGTATATTTGCCAGCATCCTCCGGTTTGACTCGGAAGATGATCAGCGTCCCATCAATCAGAATCCTTACTCTTAGTTTTAGGTCACTGCAAGTGAAATGAGAACAAGGAGAGAAGTGGGCACATGGCATCAAACTAGGCATTGTTCCATATTAAGTTTCTCCTGGATGAAGTCCCTTTTCATGAAGAAGGGGGCTGCCTTCCTCCTCTACTCCAGCCAATGCCAACCTGATGGGCCTCATATCACAATGGGCTGGGAGTAATAACTGCAAGCATCTCCTTTCAATGACCCCATAATCCCGCAAGGGGCGAAATGAATGGAGCTGAATGTTTACTGGCCAGCTGCCTTTCCTGTCACCAATGTGGAGTTATATTCAGCAGATATTTCATTTCATTTAGTTGTCAACAAGTAGAAGGAAACAAGTATGAAAACACATGGAAAAAATGGCGCAAAACTTAGCCGTAAACACATAAAAAGAGTACATATCAGTGGGGACAGGGACGATAGGCACACTGGTGCGCTTATGCACGCCCCCTTTACAGACCTCTTAAGAAATGTGTAAGGTCCAGCTTAGGGTCAAAGGTATGGAGGTTAGAGGAACTAACAACAGGATTGGGTAGGGTGTTCCACACATTTACTACTCTATTGCTGAAATTGTTTTTTCCTGAAATCAAGATTAGAACGGATTACATTTACCGTATTTTTCGGAGTATAAGACGCACCTTTTTCCCTCAAAAAAGAGGCTGAAAATCTGGTGCGTCTTATACACTGAATACAGCATTTTTTGCTTCCCGAAACTCCACCCCCTTCACCAATTTGCCATGCATAGATCTCGGTTTCCTTAAAAGACCAGGCAAAGAGAGAAGGAGAAGATCGCTCAAATCTCCATGTCCCTCTCAATTTTCAAGGATATCGCTCGGCGGAATAGGTTGGTACCCCATTGAGTTGAAACCTCCGAGATCCAGGTCCTGGACTCACTTCTTAAAGTACACATTGTCTTCTTCCCAGTGCCAAGTGTAGGTCAGGTTGCCTGGATATGCTTCCGCCTGGCAGGTGAACATTGCATCTTGGGAGATGTTAACAGTGATGTTCTCCGGGGGAGAAACGATAAAAGGGGGTCCTGTGGGAAACCAGGAGGCAAACAATTACCTCAGCAGACGAAAAAGGAAGGTGAGTTCATAAGCAGGAGCTTCAGAGTTCATGCAAAGATCAGGCATAGGACTACGGGGATCTAGGCACCCATCAGGTCCCTATACACTGGGCTCATCAGCTAAACTACTAGCAACACCAGGAGCTGTAGGCTTAGCATCTCTGGGGGTTATCAGTTGGAGAAGGAGGCAAGTGGCTGAGGTAATTAATCACTCTGCCATCAAAGCTGGCACCTGCCAGAGGAGAGAACAACTTGAAGAAGTAATGCAAGATCAGAAAATGCGGAGAGACCACGCCCATAAAATCGCCAAGAGTCGGACACAGCGGAACAGATGGTGTCATCGTTATTAATTAATCACTCAAGGGTGGCACCCTATTTTGGGTGGTTGCAAAAATATGGATCACCAATAAGAGGGGAACTACTTTAAATGATAGATAGATTAGATAGATAGATGATAGATAGATGATAGATAGATAGATAGATAGATAGATAGATAGATAGATAGATAGATAGATAGATAGATAGATAGATAGATAGATAGATAGATAGATAGATAGATAGATAGATAGATAGATAGATAGATGATGATGACTGATGATTGATGGATGATTGATGGATGATAGATAGATGATAGACAGATAGACAGATAGATAGGCAGTCAGGCAGGCAAATAGATAGACAGAGAAGGTCTTGATTGATTTAAGATGTGGCATCCTGGTGATTTCATGGATATGTAGGTTATTTGGTAGCAATCTGGTTTGCTGTGCTCAACTCCCAGCAAGTTTGTTTTCACTTTCTATCCTTTTTACACCTGAGTATTAACTCACAATGAATGATAGGTGGTTGTGCTGTTACCCCTCTGGACCTTAATATTTAAGCCTGCAAAACCATGGAGACGCCCTTGAAGGTTACTGTATTCTCTGCTAGTTCCTCAGTCTCTGATCCAGCAGCAAGATGCTACGTATACAAAATGCCCCCCCTACACAAACACACACCCATCGATTTTTTCACCCCACCATTACCTTGGACAAGCAAGCGGGTCGTGTGCACAGCCTCTCCCTGGATGCTATAGGCCCGGCAGGTGTAAGCACCCCTGTCATCGCGACTGATGGACATAACGGTCAGACTCCCATCAGAAACCTGAAAAAGCCAAAGCTCACTTCAACACAAGTTCAAACCACAGAACCAGTGGACTACAAAACCCCAAACCACACAAAACGCAGCATTAATAGAGTCCTTGGGTCTTCCTCTCTGCTTGGAGGCCCGGTGGTGCAGAGGTTAGAATGCAGTATGGCAGGCAATTAGCCTGCCCATAACCTGGAGTTTGATCCTGACCGGCTCAAGGTTGACTCAGCCTTCCATCCTTCCGAGGTCGGTAAACTGAGGACCCAGATTGTCAGGGGCAATATGCTGACTCTGTAAATCGCTTAGAAAGGGCCGTAAAGCACTTCCATGCTGCAACCTTAGCTATGTTCTTGATTGTTTGCTCCAGAACTATCAGGCTCCAAAAATCAAGAAAGACACAGGGTTACATCTACGCAGTTTCCTTCATTGTACCTCATCTATAGACAGAATCTTGCCGAACTAAAGCTTGCATCATGGAAGATATTCTCTGAGAATTACTAGGTTCTCCCAACCAAATTATCTAAGCTTCGCTGCCTTTTGTTCCTCTGGGATGCAGCCCCCTCCCTCCTGGGGATCTAGACTACATTCCACCACAGTTCCACGGTGTATGCAAAGACTGTTAGGGGTCTTTCCAAGACCGCAAACTTACCCGGTATTTGTTGCTACCACCCAAAAGTTCTCCTTCTCTCAGCCAGGTGACGGTCGGCTTAGGGTTTCCAAAAGCCATGCAGGTTAGAGTGATGCTGCCCCCTTCCTTTGCCTCTACGTATTGGGGGGGAGTCTCTGTGAAGGTGGGAGGAGCTGCCAAGACGATGGAGGAGGAAGGAAGAGAGACAGAGATGACACCATTTGTTCCTAGGTTGTGTGGTTCAAGGACACCAACACAAATTCATTTTGAATCTACTACTCCAGAATGCAAAAAAAAAAATGGGATCCATGCTCTTTGTACTCTGAAGGCATCCAAGAGGGCCATTCTAATTTTTATTTTATTTTATTCACCCGTATCCTGCCTTTAATATTTTTAACAGATAATTTAAAGCAGCAAACATATCCAACATATTTCCTCCTCCTATTTTCAACCCTGTGAGATGAGTTAGTCTAAGAGAGAGTGACTAGCTCACATCAACATCTTCTACACTGAAGATGTCATTTAATGTCATTGTACAAGGTGCAATGACAATAAAGTAAACTAACTAGTGACCCAGCTGGCTTCGATGGCTAAGTGACGCTAAAATTCCCAGTCTCTTGGTGGTTGGTCCAAAGTCACCCAGCCGGCTTCCATGGCTAAGGTGGGGACTTGAACTCATGGGCTCCCGCTCTCTGGCCTGATGGCAAACTGGATCTCCTCTCCTAACATGGTACCACCTAGACCCATTAGGGCTTATTACGGGTAACAGCTTTCAAACCACACACTTCCTGCTTAATTTCACAGAGAGAGACAGAGAGAGACAGAGACAGAGATGGTGCAGTGGTTAGAATGCAGCACTGCAGGCTACTTCAGCTGACTGCAGTTCTGCAGTTCGGCTGTTCAAATCTCACCGGCTCAAGGTTGACTCAGCTTTCCATCCTTCCGAGGTGGGATTGTTGGGAGCAATATGCTGACTCTGTAAACTGCTTAGAGAGGGCTGAAAGCCCTATGAAGCGGTATATAAGTCTAACTGCTATTGCTATTGCTATAGAGACAGAGACAGAGACACAGAGAGACAGAGACACAGAGAGACAGAGACAAGAAAGGAAGGGAGAGAGTGTGTGTGTGAGAGAGAGAGAGAAAGAGACAATCAGAGAGACAGAGAGAGAAAGAGAGAGAAAGAGACAAAGAGAGAGAG